ACTCCACGACGCTTTTTACTAGATGCCAAAGGGCAAACAAATGCGCAAAAATTTGACCATGGCTGACCATCGTCGCTATGGAAGACTGAATGGACGAGGCCTTGGCTTGATCACCTCGAGGGTGAACAAGTGCAAGACTGCTCCAAGCCAATCGCCCAGATTTGGAGAATCTTGGACATGAAGCATGGGAGTGTAAGCTTCGTTGCGGGAGCCGACCTGTGTAGTGTGCTGGCTCGTGTGGGTAGGAAAGGCGATTGAATCTTTTAGACAGGTTAAGTCTATGTGTTGATTGGTGGCGGGGGGGGGGGGGGTGAGGGTGATAGTTAAAGTTTGAAAAGACCAGGTTAGTTAGTCGGTCGGTGGCATAGGGAGAGGGTGATCCAATACTTGGTTCCAAGGGAGGATGGAGTTGAGTCGGTCGGTCAGAGGGTGGAGTGGTGATCCAATACTTCGTTCCTAGGGAGTTAGGATGGTGGAGTTGAGTCGGTCGGTCAGGTAGAGTGAACATCCAATACTTGGTTCTTGGGGAGTGATGGTGGAGTTGAGTCGGTCGGTCGGTCGGGGTAGAGTGGACATCTAATACATGGTTCTTGGGGAGGATGAAGTTGAGTCGGTCGATCCGGTAGAGTGGACGTCCAAACATGGTTCTTGGGGAGTGAGGATGGTGGAGTTGAGTCGGCGGACGGTGAGAGTGAACATCCAATACTTAGTTTTCTGAGTGATGGTGGAGTTGAGTCGGTCGGGCGGTCGGGGTAGAGTGGACATCTAATACATGGTTCTTGGGGAGGAGGAGTTGAGTCGGTCGGCGGGTCCGGTTGAGTGGACATCCAATACATGGTTCTTGGGGAGGATGGAGAGAGTCAGTGTCGGGTAGAGTGGAGGTCCAAACATGGTTCTTGAGGAGGAGAGTTGAGTCGTTCGATCGGTCCGGTAAGTGGACATCCAATACATGGTTCTTGGGGAGTGAGGATGGAGTGGAGTAGTCCATCGGGTAGAGTGGAGGTCCAATACTTGGTTCTTGGGGAGTGATGGTAGAGTTGAGTCAGTCGATCGGTCGGGTTGAGTGGAGATCGTGGATTAGTAGGGTCAATCCAAAAGTGTAAATTCGTGATCAAGCAGGGTCGATCTAAAGGTGTAAATTCGTGGGCGGTCAGGGTCGATCCGAAGGTGTAGATCCATGGATTGAGCATGGTGAAACTCAAAGGTGTAAATCATGGATCGAGTAGGGTCGATCCGAGGTATAAATCTGTGGATCGAGTAGGGTCGATCCAGAGGTGTAATACGTTGATGGGCCGGGCCAGTCTGAAGGTGTCGTCTTGGACGAGCAGGGTCGATTCGAAGGTGGTACGTACGTTGATTGGGCTAGGCCGATTTGAAGGTGTCCATACGTTCATCGGGCAAGGCTAATTTGAAGGTGTCCGTGATGTTCATCGGGCAGGGCCGATTTGAAGGTGTCTGTACGTTTATCGGGCAAGACCGATTTGAAGGTGTCCGTACGTTTTATCGGGCAAGGCCGATTTGAGGTGTCGTACGTTATCGGGCAAGACTGATGATTGAAGGTGTCCGTACGTTCACGGGCAAAACCGATTTGAAGGTGTCCGTCGTTTATCGGGCAGCCCGATTTGAAGGTGTCCGTACGTTCATCGGGGAGGACGATTTGAAGGTGTTCGATGTTTATCGGGTAAGGCCGATTTGAAGGTGTCCTACGTTTATCGGCAAGGCCGATTTGAAGGTGTCGTATGGTTATCGGGCAAGGCGATTTAAAGGTGTCCGTACGTTTATCGGGCAAGGCCGATTTGAAGGTGTCTGTACGTTTATCGAGCAGGGCCGATTTGAAGGTGTCCGTACTGAGGGCAAGGCCGATTGAAGGTGTCCGTACGATTATCGGGCAAGGCCGATTTGAAGGTGTCAGTACGGTCATCGGGCAGGGCCGATTTGAAGGTGTAAGTAATTCATCGACCGGGGTAGATTGGAGACGAAAACTTCTGAATAGCACTTCATTAAATATTTGGCCATGAGGCCGACTGTCTAAGAGGAGGGGATAGGCCCACTCATCTTTTTAAAATGGAAAAATGAAAAACGAAAAAAAAGACAAGGTTCACCTAGAAGTAGTAGCATTTGAGGTGAACGACATTCCAACTGTTGTTGATGTCTTTGTTATCGGGGGTCTGGAGTTTGTAGGCGCCCTTTCCTGCTTCTTGGTGACCTTGAGGGCCTACAATCGATCTGAGTTCTAGCCTCCTGTCATTCTGCATTTGCATTCAGTCATACCTGGCGTGAATTGCCTGATTCATCTCATCTTCTCCCACCTTATTTGAATCGTTGCTCTAGCCAAGGCGTCTTCCATCGTGGTGCCACCTAGCTTCGTTAGTTTCTTGTATAGTTCACCATCCGGGAGGAGACCTTTTTGAAGGGTCTGCTGTCTCAGGGTTACAGGAAGGAATGGAAATCTTCTCTTTGTTGAATTTGCTGATATATTCTCTCAATGGCTCGCCCCTTCTCTGGTATACCCTGTACAAGTCAGTGACAGCTTCTCGAGTTTTTGCTGTTGGCGAACTGCTCCACAAACGTGTCAGTGAGTTGAGCGAACGAATCGTAGGATCCATCGGGAGGTTCGTGTACATTGCAGTGCTGGGCCGGATAAGCTTGAACCAAACTTTGCACATGCGGCTTCCCTAAGTGGTCGCAGTATCGAGATAGTGAAAATCCGTTGTTGTACGAGGCTATATGATCGTCCAGATCAGTTGGGCCGTCGTACATTTCATGTTGGGGATATTGAACTTCTGTGGCGAGTCGGCAGGGCGATCTCGTCCACGAAGGGTGAATGCGTAACAATGGGCCTGCTCTTCTTGGTTAGGAACGACATTCCTGGAATGCGTCGCATCACTGCTTCCACATCGGCCAATCTCTTGGCTAACACTGTTCCATAGGAGAGGGGGATGCCACTAGGTCATCCCGTTGGACCGGGTGGCCTTTGCACTTGTCTTGGACATTCCGTTGGGTCATCCTCTTGGGGTAGGCTGACGAGTCCCTTGTGCGTTCCTTAGTAGCATAAGTCTCGGTCATTCCTTCGGTTGGATGACTCCCAGGGTCACTGATCTGGTGTCGTCCCTACATGGATGGTTGGGGAGTCCTTTATAGTCATTCGGGGGTCAGGATGGATGGGCTCAGGTGTGTTGGTTTTGTTTGGCCGTTCATCCCGCGGGGATGAGCCAGGCCAAATGGAGTAGTGTTGTGGATGGTTAGATTGAGCTGGTCTTGTGGATGAGGGCTCTCGGCCACCGTATCGTCTTGGTCTTGATGTTGGGATGAATCGGGCTGTGGTGCTCTTCAGGCATAACATTACTCCATGGATTAGGACAGAATTGTCGACCGTAGACAGGTTTAAGGGACGCGGCCTTTTGCCAGAGGCGAGGGTCGGGGCTTCGGCGTAAGCAGAGGGTGCATGGGTGGAATAAGGGTGCGGAACCGATTGAGGGGGTGTTTGGCCAGGAAGGAACATCTAGGTCATGAATTGACTTACCTTCTCCTTGAGGGATTGGTTTCTGACCTGACGGACGCGTTTTTGTCGATCGCATTGTTCTCAGCTTCCAATGCTGCCACCTTGTCCAGTTTTGTTGCATGAGAGCAGTTAGAGCTTCCAGTTTGGCCTCGAGGCAGGGTTAGTTATCGGAGTTGTCAGCCATGGAATGTTCCTCCACGTAGCAAGGTGTCGAGCCGAAAGATGCTAGAGGCCCCACGGTGGGCGCCAAAAACTGTTAGCGGTAAAAATCTACCTGTACAGAAGGGGGGTCTGATCCCGTGAGGTTAAGGCCACTAGCGATCCGCTGCACCTGCACACGTAGAGAAACACACGCGTGAAGCGAACGGGAAACACCGGGGTGGTGTTTGCCGTAGGCACTCCGACGCTCAAGTCAACAAGGCTGAGAGAGGCTAATATAGTGAGGGCTAGGGAGTAGAAGTTACCGGAAGTCTAGTCGGGGACTGTGACTACGGCGGTGATGGGGAGCTCTCAAGTCAGAGCTTTCAGTGTGAAGGTGTAATGTCATCTGTCCCTTGTGAGAGGGCTGACCTCTGTTTATATAGTGGTCGTCTGGTCTCCCAATCCTGGTAGAAGTAGGAGTCCTAGTATGACTCTGATGCAAACCCTAGAAGAATTAAGGTTGTGGTAAGCTGTCTTACCAGTGTCCGGATAGGAAGGTGATTCTGATTAGGAGAGTAACTCCTAGTAGGAAAGTGATCAGGAATAGGAAGGTGACCTTGAATGGGAGATTGATCAGGAGTAGGAAAGTATTCTGAGGGGGTTGTGGGCTCTGGATTTGCCCATTGACTTAGGAAATGGACTGGGATTAGGAGGCTTGTGCCCACGTGGTTTGGGCTTTCTATATCTTGTACCGAATGGGCCTAATCTGGTTGGGTCATATCAGGATTGGGCCTGGCTTCTTCTTCAGTGTCGAGCCCGTTTTTCTATTCGGGCCAAGGACAATTTTTGGCCCTAACAGTCATCTACATTAGTTTATTCAAATATTGGTTGGTTCATTGTTATAGAGAAAGATTTTATTGACTTGTGTTAGTATTAAACATCTAATGTTAGTTTGTTTTAATTAAGCTACTTAAGGGCTTTCATTGGCTGCTAGAGCTAGTATAGAAACAGAGATGTTAAATACATAGCTTCTGCATAGCTTATTTCTCTGTTTCCTAACTAAAGTAATGTTTTAATTCAGAAATTAAACTTCACTTTCAATCTTCTTTGCTAATGTATTTTGTGTGTTAAACAAAGCTGAAATTACAGCAAACACAAGCTGAAATTATTTTGAACAAACTTTAACTACAAGCACAATAAAGGAATCCATTTCATAGAAACAAATATTGTCATGGAGAAAGAAGATGGCATGAAAGAAAAACACAGTGATTGGCTATTATAATTCAACTAAATCATGTGAAAGAGAAACACAACCATTTACTGCTCTTAATTGAGAGAAATCGTGAAATAGAATAATCTATTGAACCTGGAGGATAGAGCATATGGCTTGAATCGCTGTGAGTATGAGGAGAACAGTAGCAGCAATTACAGAAACGGTCGTCCATGGAGTTTTGAAATAATTTTGTTTTAAGGTTGCGATCCACTGGTGCCATGGTCTTCTGCAATACTTGTTCAGCTCTTCCACAAGAGAAGAATAAAGGAAACGAGAACGGAAACGAGGCCGTCGATTAAGGCGGTGAATTAGACTTGACACCGGTTCACAATCTCCTATTGGATTGCGAATAATTTGATGCTGGACAAGTATATCCACATCCTTGGGAGTGTTAACAAGATAATTCATCATGATAATATAGTCATTTAAGAATTTATCTTGGCATTGACTTTTCTCAAAGGCCAAAAGATTTTTCAAAGCAATTTCCAGGGAACTTGATACTGTGAATTGTGGAATTTCTAATATTCCATTGCGAAATCTTATATCAAATAAGTTTTTGCTTAACCCCAATTGAAACTTCACTCCAGCTTGATGTAGTTCTTTTACACTTGGTGTTATTAGAATTTCTGGTCTCTCTTTCAACTGTGGATTCAAAGGTATAATAGAAATTCTTAGAAAGTCAATAAGATGCTTCACCCCCGAATATTTACTTTCATCAAAGTTCTCCTCCATTCCTAAGCGTTTCCAATGAAAATAGGTGAAATTATGGATAATTTTAAGAATAGAAGGCTTCTCTTGATTGTCAAAGGATATGTCTATATCGGCTAGCCTAAACAAATCTTCAAGAATGAAGAATGGAAGCTGATTTTCAAGCACAATCAAGTCATCTTTAACATCAAATATTTTACAGGGACTTACCAAATACACGATCATAAACAACATGTTTCTTTTCAGTATGCATTAATAATACCTCCAAAATGAAAGTAGCATCCGTTAAAATCATTTTCATAAAGTCATCACTATCAATTTCAATGGTTTCTGCGTAACAGTCACGCACTTTTTCTTCATTTTCCTTTACAACTTTTATAAAATCTTTCAAGCGCACCTGATTAGTTCTTTCAAGAAACTGTTGTAAATATCTCCTTTTATACTCTTCCATTGCTTTTAACTCTGGTTTGCCATGATGAATCGGACCAATAGAGACTATTTGGGGTGTGTAAGCTTTTTCATCTAGCCGACGTACACTCTCTTGAACACGATGGATGGTGCATTTTTCAGATAAAGGATGCAAAGATTCCAGTTCATTCATAAGAGAAGTTTCCAATTCTAAGTACGGGTCTCCCACGTCAATCACTGCATCCTCATCACGTCTTTCCATTTGTTCACTTGCTTCCAATTCTGAGCCTGGGTCTTCAACTTCAATAATGTCAATCACCGCATCATCATCAATTCTCTCTATATTTTCACTTGCTTCCAATACCGAGTCCTGTTTGTTGAAGTCCTGTTTCACCATTCTCCATCCTGATCACTAGTAACAAAATCATTAACATACATATCACTATTAAGAATATTCGAATTAATAATTTTTAGAAACAGGTGATTTTGAAAGAAGCTATGACGACACCAAACATAACTTGATTGTCAAAATAATCATTCAAATCATACGTACATAATTCAGAATATATTTGCTGCATACTTACAATAATTTTATGATCAATATCCTGCAGCCTTAAATTACCCTGCTCCAATCTATAGCCGGTACTGCACAAAAACACTGAAATCTCAAAAGTCAGTAATGAAATATTCAAGTGCAGGAAAAGAGCACAATGACATGTATTTATAAAAGATGGTTTGATAAACAACAAACAATTCAGACTAATTAATTAGTTGTAGCATAATGACATATGCAATAACTTCGTGGACTCGATGGTCACACCACATAAGGCTAATGTGGTTGGACAGTCACAAAAGCTTTTCTCGGCGGTGGGAGAAAGTGAGAATACGAAGTTAGCTGTGTTTGTTTCCTGTTCCTATCTACCCTATTCAAAATACATGTTTCTTTTGTTATTTTTAAAATATAATCTTATTCTATTCAACTCAAAATATTTAGATTTTTTTTAAACCCTTAAGTTTATTAATTTAACTAAACACCCATAATAGTAAAAATTTATAAATATTTAAACTTCCGACCACCCTCCGACAGTGGTGGTCGGTTGTGGGCATTTAATAGGTGGACGGAGGTGTTTTTGTTAATTTTAAAACTTTTATTGTAGAAGATGTTTAACTAAATTAAATTAAAATTAACTTATTCATTAATTAAATTAAATCAAAATTAACTTATTCATACAGTTTTTTTAATCTGTAACAAACAAATATATGTTAAAATTATTAATTATATGTTAGGTTTGTTTACTTCTTCATGTTATTTTTACAAAGTCTTCCTTTTTTATCCGTAACAAACAAATATATGTTAGGTATAGCTTGTCTCATTCTTAACATTATTTATACGAAGTCTTTTTTAATTACAATAGTGAAAAATAATCAGAACTTTTTGACTAATCTGTAACAAACAAATATATGTTAGGTGTAGCTGGTCTCCTTCTTAACATTGTTTATACAAACCCTTTTTTTTAATACAATAACAACTAGCCGTCGTGAAACATATGTTCCCGTCGTGAAAAATATGCTGCTAATGCCTCTTTCCTTAATTATATACGAGTGGGGAAGGCTGCTAAAACGACAAAATTTAATTCTACCTTGGCCCATAAGCTCCATCTTTCCTAAATTGGGTAGCTATAATTTTCTTTTCCTTCCCCATCTTTCATTTTCACAAGAAACAAACGAATAGAAACTCTAGCTTCCAGGGATGTTATAGCAAATATTAAACTATTTTACTGCTTTGTTAAATTGAGAGAGATATTATTTCTTAAGATAAGCGAGTTTATGGTAAAGATTAAAGAGATTGCAGATTCTTTAACTGCTACTATATGAGTTTTTAGTGATAATGAACTCATCTGAATACCATCAAGTTTGTATCTTCTCCTGCATTATATTCAAGTCCAGTTGCTGGGAAAGGCGAAAATATCGTTTGTCCTCGTCACTCAGTAATTAGGTCCAAAATGTAGGGCTACTTTGCTATGACCTCTCAGATGTAAAAAGTAGGGGTGTCAACTGAGCGCCGAGTCGCTTGCAAGTCGGCTTGGCTCGGCTCGTTAAATACTTGAACTCGGCTCGATTATAATCAAGCTGAGCTAGCTCGAATAAGACTCGAATTAGGTACCGAGCCAAGTTTGAGTAACAACACATCTTACACATATGGACTTGAACTTAAATTCAGAGCTTAGACACCCTCCATTCAACTGAGACTCAACCACCATAAGACTAAGGAGGATCATCCATTACTGAAGAGCCCTCATTGAGGAAAGCCTCAAAATTCCCGTACCCACAATCAGTCATGCTCACGAAGATGCTCCTACAAACCTTTGAAGAGGCTAGGAATGGTCCTCCTCCGGCTCGGCTCGATTCGGCTCGCTAGTCAATAGTGGCTTGTTTAGGGTTTTTCTGCGAAAAACAAAAGATTTAAGTATGTTTTCTAATTTGACATGTAAAAGTTTTAAAATGTTGCAAATTAACCCAAATCCCAATTAAATTTTTAGGGATTTTATAATTTTTTGTGTAATACATTGTTGATGTGTTGATTAGGATGTGATTTGTGTTGATTTGGATGTGATTTATGTTGATTTGGATGCAAATTTACCAAAAATTGGATTTGATTTGTATAAAACAAGATCTGCAATTTATATAAAAAATTGGCCAAACTAGTTGCAATTGAGCCATAATCGAGCCAGTCCGAGCTCGAGTCTTGGACAGAAAAATTTGCATATTTAAATTTAAAAATGAATCTCCGGCTTTAGAATTACTTTTGAGCTGCCTCTGATGTCCGACTCTTGTATACAGCAGCCATGTCACTGTTACAGGTGTTGATGCTCGGTTTAAGCACCAACGAATTCTCACGTGTATAACGTTGATTGGCTGTTCAATACACATGAAAATGAAATATATAAAAGCGAAATAAATGTAAAGGGAGTTTTTTAAGTGGTTCGGATGCTAAGGTAGCAAGTCCTACGTCCACTGATTTGTATTGATATTAGTGTGTGTCAGGTCGCGGCTGCGAGCTGACTTACATAGGATGAAAAAGTCAAAGATGATTACAGGAGAGTGAGATTTCTTTTGTTGTATGAAAAATGGCCGAATCCCCCTAATGAAGGGGTCTTCTTCATTTTATATCAGACTAAAGCGTATAATCATCACTAAATCCATGGTTTGGTGTGATTGTCAGGATGTAATCCGGCTTTACGTCCCATTCCCCTTTTCCCAAGCTGACATCGCACGACTTGTTGCAGAAAAAAGGATGCGTGTGGGCTCCATATCACTTGGCAGGTCTGACGTGTGCGTGCTGCTCTGACGAGAGTAAGTCACCCTTCACGTGACTTTCCCACGTTAGCCCCTCATTCTCCCGGGCATAACAGAAGCCCCCCAGTTTTTAAGGTTCGAGGGCCGGACCTTGGAAACAAAGTCACGTCGGAGTCTTTTGGTTGCTCCGACTTGAATGGGATGAGCTCGGCACAGGACTCTGGCGAACACGATCTCGCGCTGTTCCTCGTCAGAGCGACCTGACAATCTCCACCTTAGCGACCTGGATCTGGGAGGCGCTCCTCTGTACAGATTCGATGAACCTGGTTTCATGCTGTCATACGGTCTGCGCGCGTTAAAGCTTGTCAGGCACATTAAATGCCTCGCGTGCTGAGCTGGCACCGTTTGGCAGCGTTAGTGGCGCATCGTATTTGAAACGACGACCATTATCGCGTCATTTAATGCGACGTGGGGCGCATTTAATGCGGGGAGAGAGAGTGGGTTATCGTTTCAGTTCCAAGGGGTGGTAACCGTCGATTCGCAATCCATATAAAAACTTGCATTTTTCTGATGAGGTCACTGAAATTTCTTTCGCTTCAAGTGACAAACCTTTACGCACCAGGGACGATTTTCTTCCGACCGGCGCATTTCAGGCAACCTAGACGAGTTTCGGCCTCAGCTTCGCATCTCAGAGAGTAAGGTTCTTTTCCCTTCCCCTTTTTTTTTTTGCACTGGTTTGGTTGGATAATGGCGTTGGGTCTCTCGGCGTTTCACCGGAGACGCGACGCCGCCATTGGATTCGAGCCGTGGTGGCGGCTCGAGTCATTTATAGATTTTAAGGCGTCCTCTGTCATTACATGGGACAAACACGAAGGCCCTAATGACCGTGTCTGTTGATGTTGCGGACTGGAATGGAACCGTCAACATCCAGACCTGATGTTGAATGCAGAAACGACGGTTTTTTCAGCGACCAGGCGTCCTTAGAACCTCCGGAAGGTAAGTTACACTTTGGTTCCCTTCTGGTCATAGAATGATTTCGTTTACTAACGACCTTGAATGCAGAAACGATGCCCCCAAAGGAGTTCAGGTAGTCCCGCCGAGCACCGTTTGTCTTTCCTCGATCGAGGATCGAGAGGGAGGCTAATGTTGCTCATCCTGTCCCGGCACAGCCGGTGCGAACAGTCCCAGCTTCCCAGCCCCGCCCTGCTGCGCAAGGGGCAACCAGGACGGAACAGGCCGCTCAGGCGCCGACTGCTCGCCCCAAGCGGAAGGCTCCGGCCCAGAGGTCAAAGAAGAGAAAGCAGATTCAGCCTGACGAGTCGGAGACTGAATCAGAGGGAGAGCCTCTGAGGTCGCGCCAGGGATCCCGGAGGTCGGGCAAGGAGCCCGTCATCGATGCAGGTGCAGGCGACAAGGCAAAGGACGCACCTGTTCTAGATTCGTTGGGGAGTCTGCCCGAGTACCTGCAGCCGATCGTTTATGGCCTGCTCGATTGCGAGCTATCGGAGTCATACAACGAATTTGCAGATCCAGCGACGAACTGTTGGTACGTCGTTTCAGCATGAGCAAGGTAAAATAGTCGTACTGAAATTTCAATCCGATCTGTTTCTAACCGTACTCTGCTCGCAGGGATTGCTTGCGATGAGGATGTCCATGGAGAAGACGCGGTGGGGACGCAAAGGGGACAAGCGACCTAGAAGAGGAGGTCGCGAAGCTTAAGCATAGCTTGGAGTCCGTCGAAGCTGAAAGAACACAGGCGTTCGAAGCGGCGAACCGGTATCTGTACCAAAAGGAGCCGCTTTACGAACAGTGGATTTCCAAAAGGCGGAGCTCGACCGACGTGCGGAGGAGATTAAAGAGCTTCAAAGGACAACCGCCCAGCTCACCAAGGGGTCGGAGAGAAGGACCAGGAGATGCGGGCGACTTCGAACGGGCCCAGCGAGCTGAAGAAGACAAATGGGCCTCTGAACAAGAAAGACTAGCTCTTGAGGCCGAGCTCAGGAGAGTAGGGAGAGAGTCACTTCTCTGACTGCAGAAATGCAGAATCAGTCTGAGGGGATAGAGGAGAAGGCCGCGGACTAGGCGATGATCCATCTACAC